CCTCAAGTCCGCAGGCCGACGCTCTATCCACTGAGCCAAACCGGTCAGGGCTAAAAATATATTTTTAAAAAGAAAATAAGCACAAGAAAATTGTACAAATTATTAGCCATCAGGGAAATGCAAATTAAAACCACAGTATTATTTCATTACACACTCACCAAGATGGCTAAAATTTTAAAATGGTGTTAGCAACCAAATGCAGGTGAAGATGTGAGCAATCTGGATCATTCATACACTGGTGATCCTCCTATATAATAAAATGCTAATATGCAAATTGACTAAACAGCAGAATGACTGGTCGCTATGATGCTCACTGACCACCAGGGGACAGATGCTCAATGCAGGAGCTGCCTCCTGGTGGTCATGCATTTATATAATATTTTTATATAAAAATTTTTATAAAATTTCCATTCACCCCTGTGACTCTAGGAAAAAAGTGCAACTGAAATACCAGTTCTATGACCAGTTTGCACGTGTAGATGATTATACTGCCAGACTTTTACAGTTAAGGAAGATTGCACAATAGGTTCGAGAATATGGAGCATGTTCTTTTAAATAATTATAAACTTCAGAAGAAACAAAAGTTGTGCAAGAAAGGAAATGTAATCAGCTGATCCTACTTAGCTCAGCATTTACCACTATTGACACAGCCATAGTGGTAATGATACACATTCTGAATTACGATGTAAATAGCAATTATTGTAAACTCAGTTGAAAAATTATACCTTATCTACAGGGTAGAACTAAATAATGTCAACAATTGGTATATAAAAATATATCTGTTTACGTGCATTATCTAGAAATTGAGATGTCACTGGAAAAAACAGCTAAAAAGCACTGAGTGGTTTCTCTAAACAGCAGAAATGGCTTTTTATAGCCTCACAAGACTTTACTTGTATGTATTATTACTTACATAATTTTTAAATATATGTTTATTGATTTCAGAGAAGAAAGGAGAGAGAGATGAAAACATCAATGATGAGAGAGAATCATTGATCAGATGCCTCCTGCACTCCCCCTACTGGGGATCGAGCCCGGAACCCGGGCATGTGCCCTTGACCAGAATCAAACCCAGGACCCTTCAGTCCGTAGGCCGAATCATTGATCAGCTGCCTCCTGCACTCCCCCTACTGGGGATCGAGCCCGGAACCCAGGCATGTGCCCTTGACCAGAATCAAACCCAGGACCCTTCAGTCCATAGGCTGATGCTCTATCCAATGTGCCAAACCAGCTAGGGCTCCATGATTCCTTTTTACCTCATGCGCATCATATACATTTGGAAGGAGAAGTCCTAGAAAATTTTGCAATTCAAAATCAGGAAGTCTTTACCTATCACAGGCTTAGAAGAAAATTCGCTTGAAATATTATGAGTGAAAACATACAAAAATGCCAACTCCTTATATACCACTGGGAATGAGTAACCAACATAGGGCACATCCATATTTTGGAATTCTCCACCCTTGCTAAGTTCCAAGGAATAGCAAAGATTGGATCAAAGTCCACAAGGCACAGGAGAGCGGGAAAAGCCGCTGCGTAGTGAAGGGCAGTGTTGCAAATGTGCACGTACGCAGGGCACACCCACAGGAAACCTTTCATGTCCACTTGACTGGGCCACAGGTGCCTGGAATCGGGTCAGTCCTATCTGGGTGCGCCTGGGAGGGTGTTTCCACGAGAGGAACATTTGAGTTGGGAAAGCAGATTGCTCTCCCCAAGGGGTGGGCCTCCTCCCACCGTTGGAGCCCTGCATGGAACCAGAGGCTGAGCCTCCGTGATCCCAGAGCGGTCCTCCTGCCTGACCCGCTCCGAATGGGGACATTGGCTTTTCCTGCCTTTGGACTCAGGGGAGACATCACCCCCTGGGCGTTCGGGCTGCTGCCTTTGTCATCCCACCATCGGCTCCCCTTCTAAGATTGGTTTTGGATGGTGTTGGAGGATGAGGTCTGCCCGCTGTGGACATGTCCGGGACACCCTGTGCTGGACATCCGTCTAGATCTGCTTGGGTCACAAAGAGGCCGCCACTGAAAACAGCAGGACAGGGTGCCACCAGTCCTCCCTCTCTTACAACATTCTTCACCAGCCTTGCGGCCCAGGCCACAGCTCCCAGGCTGAGGGGAGTGGGTGCCCCTGCAGCCTCTTCTGGAGGAGACCCCAGCTGTAGGGAAAGTGCTTCCCTCAGGAGCCCCTCAGGCTGTGGGCGGCCCCTCCCGCTGGCCCAGCCAGCTCCTCCCGCACCCCCAGCCCCGGTGCCTTCCACTGAATGCTTCTGCTCCAAGCTCTTCCCTCCCCTCCCTGGTCCATGTCCCTCAGGATTGGGGACCCAGGAGAAGCTGTCTAGGACTAAACCTCCTCCCAGACCCTCTGCGCCCCCTCTTCTTTGCACCCTGCATTCCCAGTTCCCAATAACCAGTCCACACAGAGTGTCAATGTTGGTTTCTTCTTTTCCTTCT